CACACTTGAATTCTTTTCACTCAGGGATAAGTTACAGATTTCTCTGTCAGGAATAGAGTCATCACAGCAGGGGATTAGGAGATCCTGTATGAAGGAATCTACTGGAGCCAGCAAGAGGGGGCCTCTGCGGGTGCACAGAGGAAAGTGGGGCTGTGCAGGAGAGGGAGAGCAGGGGCTCAGTTTGCAGGCAGCAGCCAACTGGGCCTCAGGAGGACTTGCTGGTGTGGAGCAGGGAACCTGTGTGCAGGACGCAAGCCTGAAACTCAGCGCGGACTCTTAGAATAGATGGGGAGATGAGATCAGGGCTGAGCCTAGAACCTGACAAGCTTGATTCGAAAAACCTTGTCCCAGTGGATCCAAGGGTCATAAAGAAGAATGTTTTAAGTGAAATGAACACCCATGTAGGAATAGCCTGTCTTTTTGCCTCGCTTCGCGTGGCTGCTGTCAGGAGGTGTCATCACCCAAGGAGCTGCTTGAGGGTGGTGCCCATCTCAGGCTGTCCTGCCCTTGAATAACTGAGTACCTCTGGGGAAGAGCAGCTTTTCTTTGTGAAATGGGATTAAAGCGTCACAGGATGTGGAAATGGAGTTTTCAGAGGTGCATTGTGAATGTTAAGCACCATGACGGGAAAATGTGTTTGTGTTCAGGAACTCACCTGGCAGCTGAAGCTGTGACCAGCTTGGTCTACAGGTCCCCACAGGGTGAATGGGGGCCTTGCTGGCTTGTCGAGAAGGAGATAGGACAGTGGACCTCAGGCTCAAGATGCATTGGACTCAGCTGGGAGATCTCACAAGGACAGGCCCCCATGCATGCCATGCTGTCCACTGTGTGAGGCGAGGGGCTTAAAGAAGAGCCTGTGTTTTGTCTGCTGCCTGCAGATGTTGCAGATCTAGGTGGGCCAGGCCCCTGGGCATGCTGCTGGGTCCCTCTTCTTGCTGGCCGGGACACACAGCTGGAATCAGGTCCTCAGGGGGAGTACAAGCTGGGGCTTTGGCTGGCCTAGGAACCCGCTGCAGACCTTGTCATGAGGCATCAGTGGTGCCTGCTGCTCCCTGCACCCCAAACTCTGCACCTCAAACACAGGAGATATGGCAGGGCCCAGGGTTGAAGCTTGGGACAGCCTATTCTTGGGGCACCACATTGCAGGAAGTGAATTTGTGTGTGTGTGTGTGTGTGTGTGTGTGTGTGTGTGTGTGTGTTATAGGAATGTGTCACAGCGTATTTCACTTAGGTTTATTATATGGACAAGTATCCGAATGACTTTGTCCTCCCCTTTCTCACTATATCAGGCAGTGCACCTTAATTCATGGAACCTCTGAGCCCCAGCTGTGTGTGTGCACCAAGAACCGCTGTGGCCAAGTTCAGTGAACAGTGTTTCTTCTGGGAATTAGAGTTTGGGTTATACAAACTGGGAAAACACTCCAATCAGAGGGAATAGTGGGATACTTAGTGACAAGTCCTCTGAAATCTCTGTAAACTGATAATCTGTGATGTACATGGTGTGCAGTTTCTTTAGTGAGAAAGAGTTAATGCAACTTCACAGAGTGTCTAATTCAGGTTGAGGGTGTAGGCAATTTATATGCTTCCAGCAAAATTATAGGAGCTTTTCAGAATTCTTAGGCATAAGGAATATGATCCTTTGAATTACATTATGTAGCAAATCTTCCTTTGAATTCCTATTTCTTATAAAACAAGCTTGAATTTTTTTTTGAAATTTACACTTTGAAAAAAATTTTAGTGTTTTGACTTTTTTTAAAATAAAAAATACTCAACTTTATTTCCTTTGAATACCAAAACAGAGCATAAGTGTTAATGTGAAAAAATGGATTATCTGTTTTGTTACACTTGTCCAAAATATAGGAAGGGTGGAAAATTACTAGAATAAGCTTAGAGAAAGCAATTTAAAATATTCTTTACCGAAGGCAAGAAGAGCTCTAGGAATGCTCAGAGATGTTTTCGTCAATTTATAACTTTACTCTTAAATTTCATGGTTGCAAAACAGTGTTTCTTTGGAAATTTCATTTTCAAATGACATATAAAAATATAACATTCTTCAATTTTTAACAGTGTATCATCATCCTTTTATGAAAATATTCATAGGCTCAACAGAATATATGGCCTGTATCAGTGGATGAATTGCATGTTTTCTTTTGTGTTTAAAGCAGGAGGAGGAGGTAGAATACCTCATGGTCAGGAGTTTCCTCCTTCCACCTGCTCTTCTTTTTTCTGAATACTTTTTAATGCTAGGTGCTGGCTGGGTACATGCGGTAGTCATTACGTTTGTATTTTTTTGTTAGTACCTGGGTGCATTATATAGTGACCCCATCTATGTTGCCTAACACATCTTGATTCTTTTTACTCTCTTTTTCCTCTCCTCTCTTTCCCTCCTCCCTCTGTCCCTGGCACCCCTTCCCATTTGCAAATGATCTATATCTCTGTTTGATGTGTCTTATTTTACTGTTGAAATTTTTATACTTTGGTCTTCTCATATAAGCGGCTCTGCAGAGCCCCCAGTGTAGCTGTCAGGACAGAATTTCAGGGGTTTGCCTCCTTCTCAGTCCACCTGCCCTGTGTCCTTGCATGAGTGACCCAACTGCTAGTGACCCCTCTGCCTCAGTCCCCCTCTTCACCAGAGAGGACAGTTGTGATGATCTATTTAGTTGGCATAGATATAACATTTACCAAGTACTGGATGTGTAGTAAACATTCAGATGTTACCATTATTACTAAATTGAAGGGCATGAATGGATTCAAAACTCAAGCACATTCTGAATGGACCCTGGAGCCTGGAAAGGTGCCATTCCCAGGCCAGCAACTCCAGGAATTGTCTGTTAAGAATGCTGGGTGGAGGTGGAGACCTGTTAAAGGAGTTGCAGGCACTAAAAACACCCAAAGACATCATCTGTCTCCTGGGAGACTTTAAGGTCATAGAAGGCAGATGCCCTTGACAGACCTTAGTTAACCACCCCAGACTTGTGAAGTCCAAGGCTAACTCCGTGGCTTGATAGGAAATGAATTGCTGGTAAAGTCAGGAGGATTCACAATATTCTCTTTCACCAGAATTATGTAGTATTTAGGACTTCAATATCATCATCATTTATTATTGTCAAATGGGTTGAAGAACTAAAATTAAAAACAATTAAATTTGTAATTTCCCAATAATGTTTTGAGATGGAGAATTGATAATAAACTATTTGAGTTAATACTTTAGGATATGAGCCAAATAGAAATATATTACGAAATAAATACTCATCAAGATAATTTAATGTCAGTAGTGTATAAAAACAAAAAAGTTCATGGATATTAGTAGAAAAAATGCTAAAACAGATCTCTTTAAAAAGCATACATAGAGCCTCCCTAATGCAAAATCCAACAGCTTCCATAAGTCAAACATTTTGCGTGCTGCAGTGATATCACCACTCCACAGTGGCCCTGCCATAATGGGTCACCAAAGATGTTCCATATAATCATTACCCTCAGGCTCTACATCTGAGACCCATTTACTTTTTAGACTTTCTAGGCATCTCATTCAATGTGCAAATACTCAAAAGTCTGAAAAAGTTCAAAATTTGATACACTTTTGATTCCTAGCATTATAGATAAGAGATACCCTGTTTTAAGTGTGCTGATGGGCTTTTTCTCAAGAATGGTTAGAAAGTATTTCAAATAATTGAAGGTATATACCATGTTTATGACTGCGATGACTCTGTTTCATGTAAATTCTTCCTAAATTAATTCATAAATGAAATTCTGATTTCAAAAGGATTGCAGAAGATGAATGTAACAAGTTCTTAGTACGATAAAGTCATCATTTACAGTTAATCATTCAGTGAAAGAATGATTCATTCAGAAAGGTAATGCTGAATTATGAAATTCATAAAGCCCAAGTTTTATTATGGTGAGGGAAATCTTTAAAGATAGAAACAAAAAAGGGAGTATGTGGTAGATTTGTCAGTGAACCTACTTTTTTTCAAAGAAAATTTTCGAAGAATCACAGTATAGCTTATAAAAAAGTGACAAGCTAGGTTAAGTATTTGCAACTTTGATGGTTTAGAAAGAATAACTGCCTTTTGTAGCTATCAGAATCTATAAAGCAAAATGAATTTTTGAATAAAAAATATAAATACTGCTTTAAAGATATAGCAGTGAGGTCTGAGCTATTTGGTTTTCATTTCTAAGAACATTCCCGTGGTTTGATTCTTTAGGAGTTGTAAATTAGAAGCTTGTAATGAGATGTATCCTGTGGTATAAGAAAATTGAATGGCATTTTCTGGATCATCTTAATGTGTTCTTTGTACATGGACGGAAAGCAATCTGCTGTTTTTCAAATGAGATGGATGTTATGGCTTTTTTTCCTTTCTTACCTTTTGTTTCTTTCTTTTTTCTTTGCTTCCTGTACTTTGTATTTGTTTAAAAGCAGGAATTAAGCAGTAGTGCATGGTGGTGCACAGATGAGGCAGGAGGATTGCTGTTGAAATCAGTGTCAGCCTGGACTACATAAGCGAGTTCAGGGCCAGTCTGCACAACATAGTGAGACGTGAAAACAAAATAGGAATTAAGATTTATCAAATAAATTCAAGAGATTGCAGTAGTTGATAAGAAATCGCACTTCACTCCTTACTGTATGTTCACTTCATCTGTCTTCCCAGGCTGCCTGATCTGTGTTCTGAGCGCTTTTTACCAATTGATTCTCTTCTCCTGATTCCCTTTGTGGTGGTTTTTGTCTAATGTGCTATTTGGTAAATGATACGGCCTCAGGCATTTGCCGAATGACTGAGTGAGTGGAAGTTGCACATGGATGCCTGATTCTGTGATGATCAGGTCTGCTGATATTTTAAGCTTAGCCCCCGGCTTCTTTGGAGGGTCAATATTTTTTCCCCAATTGGCCCAGCATTTCCACATTCCAGGCTTTTTGCAAGCTTGTCTTTGAAGTGTGCTTCTGTAAGTTGAAAATATTTCCGTATGCTAAGTTGGTAATTTAAATTTCTTTTTTCTTGCAGCTGCCTTTGCAGCCCTGTTACACTGGTAAGATTGCTTTTTCTCCAGTAGTATATGTTATGCAAATCTTTATAACTTACCGAACTATTGCCGTATATTTAATGGAATAATTTTAGTATAGTAAGTATGGCTATGTATTACACGTAATACAATAGTCTGAAAAAGTAGTTTAATTGATACATCCGGGTTAGAATAATATAGTTTTTAAAGAAAAACAGATGTTATTAAGAAAGTTATATTTGAAACTACTCCAGTTAACATTAATAGTGTGCATTCCTGTTGAGAGGAAGATTAATTTTTTTAATCTTCTGGATAGGGAGACATATGAATTTCATTAATCAGGTATTTCTGAAATGGTAACTCCATGACAAAATACAGTTTAAGCTATACTTTTATTGTATCTTACTTAAAATATCATTGTTCTGGTTCATTTTAATTTTAAAATTTCATTTAAAATTTTTATGGAGAGAAATTTTAATAAAATATAACACATAATGAGTAGATAACAAATATAGACACTGTTGTATTATTAAAAAATCGCCTACAAATTAATAGATATTTTATTTTTGTTTTTAGAGTTATTTTACAAATATTACTTAGTATAAGTTTCAGTGCTGTTGCTTTGTTTGTTTTTTCCAGGAACCATATAACACATCTCTTTGAAAATGACCGTCATTTTTCTCACCTCTCTACATTGGAAAGGGAGATGGCTTTTCGCACTGAAATGGTTAGTTACCATCCAGTATTTTATCGTGGTGCTTTAAGTAACTAGGCCATTTGAGCTTTTTATTGTGGAAAATTCTAGAAAGGTGTTCCAAGGTAAAAAGAGAAGATGATTTCCCCCTTCTCCCCTTCCGATTTAAGCAGTAGACAACTCCTGTCCTACCTCCACTCACCCATCTCTTGAGGGAACTCAAGATAGCGAGTCATTTCACCTGTGGACACTGCCATGCGTGTCCCAAAAGATGACTTTCTTGTTTTTTGTTAGCCACAGTGCCATAATGAGCAATGTCTCAGTAGAACCTATGGGGTCTTGTTTAAAACATCTTGTGATTGAATCAGGGTCTAAGCAGGGTCACACTTGCGTATAGGCGATGTACTCTTCAGTCTAATGTATATGTTTTTCTTCCTTTCCGTTTTTGTTTTGTTTTTCTGTCATCTGTTCATCGGTGAACACAAGGCAGTATCTGTCTTATGAATCTGCCTAGACTAATTCATGTTGTTTTTTAAGGGGCCCTTTTCCCTTCCTTTTTGGACCAGGAATTGAACTTAGGATCTTACTCTTATTATTAAGCAAGTGCTACACCACTGACCTGCACCCCTGGCCCTAATTCATGTTGTTTGTGGTGTTACTCTATTCAGAGTTTCCTGGAAAGTGATGGGTCCTGATAGCTGCCTTTTTGTCTTTTTCTTTTTTTTTCCTAGTGGGACTACTTCAGGGTGGTGCTGTTTACTGGCTTTGTTTGTTTGTTTGTTTGTTTAGGTAGTTGAGACTGAACCCAGGCCATCTCCCTAAGCTGCATCCTCAGCCCTTTTTTATAGTGTTTTGTTTTGAGAGGGAATCTAGGTCAGCAGGTTGCTGGGGCTGGGCTTGCATTTGTGGTCTTCCTGCCTCAGGCTTTCAGAGTGCTGAGCTTCAGCATGTGTGCCATTTTGCCTAGTGAGTGTTGTGACCTCTTTCTGTCAGAGCTCCCAGGCCTGGTTATCTGACCTTCTGAGATGTAAAGTTTGGGCCATTGGTTTAGGAAGTGCATGCTGAGCCCTCCTCAGAGCCTGCTGGGTAATGGTTATCTTCTCTATTATTTTCTTACCCTTTTCTCCTGTAACTCTGTAAGGAGGGACTTTCCCACAGTACCTGTTTGGTTTCTTTCCGAGGTGTAGTTCAGGAGGTAAAGACAGGAACATACATGATTCTTTTTATTTACCACTGTCTAAAACCACGGGTTGCTTTTCTAGCAACTTCTAGTTGACTGGGTGTTCTGTACCCCCAACCTCCCACACCCGTCCCTCTGTGGAGTTCCTGGGTTCCCAGCACCCCGTTGCTCTCTGTTGAGAGGAATTGAGAAATATTGGTTTACAGGTATTTACTGCCCTCTGCCCTAGATCAACCACCACACCAAGGCCTTTTAGCGAATATAACTAGGAAACAGTTTTTGATACAACAAATCACAAATTTATATTCCCATTTTAAATTTTGAATTTAGGATTTTTTTTTTTTTTTTTACTTACTTGATATGAAATTTTTATCTTCATGGTCTGGAGAATCTTCAATTCAAATTACTTATTTTTCAGGGATAAAAATGCCAAAATGATTATTAAAAAATCAAATTATGAGCTGGGCATGGTGACACACACTTGTATTCCCAACACTTGAGAGGCTGAGGCAGGAGGATCTCCTTGAGTTCCAGGCCAGTCTGGGCAACATACTGAGACCCTGTCTCAAAAAAACAAAAACGACAAAAATCATTTTAAAAACTAATGTAAGATTTTCTTGTGGTTTATTTTGATCTTAAGATGTACTCCATTGTGATTATATAGCAAAATTCTTTCTTAAGGTTACTTGAAAATCTTCTTCCAATTTGATAAATTTGGTTGTTTATTGTTTTTGATATTTTGAAGACAGAGTCATGCTTTGTGGCCCAGGCCAGCCTCAAACTTGCAAACAAACCATTTCTCTCAGCCCCAGATTTCAGGCATGCACCATAATACTCACTTTACTTTGTTTTATTTTTAGTTTGATAATTAGTAATTCAAATATTTTGGTTAATTATTGAATATGACATTTATATGCTTACAAAATTCAACCTACAAAACAGAGTAAGTCTGGCAGTTTCCCAGAACTGTGATAATGAAACATACCAAATCTGGAGGCCAAAACCCGCAGAAATTAATTTTCTTTCAGTTTCAGGGGTCAGAGTTAAAACAGAAGGTCTGGCATGGGTGTCCTGTCCCCAGCCATCTGGAGTCCCTTGGCTGGGGCGCCTTGCCCTTCTGCTTCCCCCCATGGCCCTGCTCTCTGTGCACATTTTCCCCTCTCCTTCCACAAGGCTGGTTGTCACAGCCACCGTAATCTGTTTTGCCCCATCATAACTTGATTACATCTGGGAGGATCCTGTTTCCAAATCAGGTCAAATTCACAGTTTCTGGTGGACCTGACATTTTGGCAGACAGGATTCAATACAAAACGGAAGGAGATACAGTTTAACAGGTAGTGATATAAGATATGAGAGTTAAAACATCATAGTGGAGTGATCTTTTTTTTTCCAGGAAATATCTGTGTAGGCAATCGTGTTTGTGTTTCTAAAATGCAATTTAGAGTTTGGCCAAAGCTGGCAGGGTGGTGGTAGGTCCGGCTGATGGAATGTGGTACTCCTACCCTGTGTTTATCTGTCTGTCCCTTACTTCTTTCTGTACTTCCTCCCTGTGCTGCTTGAACCTCCGCAGTCTTTGTCCTGTGTGTTATTCTTCCCTTGATCCCTTTTTAAAGTAGGACGTCAAGATGCAAAGCAGTCTCTCCTTCAGGACCACACTGATCCCTCCCCCAAATCCCCCAGGGTACCCATGCTGAGCTGATGGGGGAAAATGATCTATACAATTATTTTTTGAAAGAAATCTACATGTAACACATCAGTATGCAGCTTTCTCAAGATATTTGCATCTTTGCATATAAATCTGGAGGAAAGATGATTGATGGCATTTTCCGCATTTAAATAAGCAGTTAGGAGGAAGTATTTTTGGCTTGGGAAGATTTCTTGATTTATGGTAAATTTTAATTTCATAATAAACCACACTGTTCATAGGTTTTTCTAACAGTTATATTAGTATTAAGTATAGACTTTTCTTACATGAAATACAGAATTTTATGTATATACACATTCTAAATTCTATTTGAAGCTATTTTGCATTTATTTCAATTAAGATAAGATTATTCTAAAATATGTGCTTTTTTTTTGCAACCTGAGAATTCATCAGAGATCAGAAACCTGTGAAATTAGTTGTAGCTATTATTTGCTTGAGTGCTTTTTTTAAAAGTGTATTTTAAATGTTTTTAAAGGTAAGTGGAGGCATAATTATGTACCTTTTGTTATAACTGGAGCCTGTCCTTTTTTCAGGGACTCTATTATTCTTACTTCAAGACCATCGTGGAGGCACCCTCATTTCTGCACGGGGTGCGGATGATCATGAATGATAAACTGACAGAATACCCCCTCATCATCAACACACTGAAAAGGTTCAATCTGTACCCTGAGGTAAGTTACTTTCTCCTGCTGTGACTTTTTACCTTTTCAAAACTTTTGTTTTTTAACATTAAATGCTGATTGTAAATCTGAGATCTAATTCAGCATCTTAAGTTTCATTTCACTGTTTAAAAGAAAACTGTGTATCTTGGGAGGTTGATACGGACTGCAGATTGTTACAAGGTTTTGCACAGCCTTTAGCTGAACCTGTGGGAACTACTACTTCTGTGGCTGTCCCGTTTAGAAAACCTGACAACTGTCTGGGCCCAGTGTGTTAATCTCAGTGAGGGAGCAGTGCTACCCCCTTTTGTCTGAGGCCCTTATTCACTGAGTGGCCTTTTAGGGTGGATGGGAAGGAGCTGAGGAAAGGCCAGGCGCAAGCCACTAGCTTTGGCCTTGCCTCCTGAATCTGTAGAGATTGTCCCTTATGTCTCTCTCCTTAGCATGCTGTGGTGGCAAAGGACACCTTGCTGACAGGGTTGTGATTCTGGTCTCTGCTGTGCGTTGGCCTCTGTGGGCCTTCACTGAGCAAGAGGAGTCCAGCCTCCACATAATGAGAGATGGAGGTTGCCACCAAGGTCAGGGATCTCACTTATGTGTGCTTTTGTGTGTGGTCATGGGCAGGCTGATGTCACCAGAGTGCCACTGCAAGGAGCAGAATGTTTCTGTGATGTCTTTGTCATTTAAGAATATTTATGACCATCTTTCTGGGTCATCTGTGTCCTCTGCTGTATATGTAGTCTGCTCTTGCCTGTGTAGCCCAGCTTCTGTGGAAATTCTAATTGTTTTTAGTCTTTTAAATATTCTAAGAAAAGCTACAGTATACATCCTTGAAGCTGAATCCTCACCCACAATCTATTGTTTTAAACTAAAAAATGTGTATGTGGAACTGTTTTGTTGGGAAAATACATACTTTCATGATTTGGACAAGTTGCCAAAATGCCTTCTATGTAGGTGATACATATTGTTTTTGTCTTTTTGAGACAGGGTCTCACTATACAGTTCAGGCTGGCCTCGAGCTCACTTTGTAGCCCAGGCTGGTCTCAAACTCGCAACGATCCTCTTGCCTCAGCCTCCCGAGTGTTGGGATTACAGGCGTGAGCCACTACGCCTGGCTTATGTAGGTGATATTAATGGAAATCTTCACCAGCATTGTTTTTGAAAATGTTTATCTACACTGTAATTATTCAATGTGTTTCTTTCATTCATACATATTTAATATATATGAATATATAAATACTTGCATTTAGAGCTATATAAATAAAATAAAATGCATTTTCACTTTTAAAAATAATTATGTGCTCATCCCCTTTGCTTATATTTCTATTGAAATTTTATAAGTACTCATTTATTATGTACAGCATGTTAATATTATGCTGCACCATTAAAGGATTTTTCTTAGCTTCTTGTTTGCCGTTTACCTATGCATACATTTTTTTTTTTTTTTTTGGCAGTATTGGGGATCGAATTCATGACCTCATGCTTGCCAGGCAGGCGCTTATGCTGCTGAGCTAAATCCCCAGCCCTGTATACATATTTTTGCACATAGAAATATTATATCTGAGACTCTTTTTAAGTTACGTTTTCTCTTGCATGCATATATGTAAAAACTCCATTCTTGATAATGCTAATTTTTTATATTTGCTTTTAAATGTATTTGGGATTTGTTTTAATCATAGTGTGGGACAGGAATCTAAACCTGCGATTTTATAAAACCTAACCTTCTGTGTAACCTAACACAGTGACGAGTGGTCCATCCTCTCCCCACTAATTTGGAGTGATGGGGCCCTGCTCCCTGTCATCTGGGTCAGGGTCCTGGAGGTGGATGGACTATGGGATGGAGATTTGCCTGCATCAGTGTTTGGGGGAAGTGGCCTTGGGCTACACATCCCAGGGAGGTTGAGGGGACTAGAACGAGCAGGAGGCTGAAGTCACAGCAGAGGACTCCCCACCCCACACTGCCCCTGTGGCTAGGGGCCACTGTGGAGTTGTCCTGCTTGCTGGTCATGTGTTGGATGCAGCCTACTCTGGGAAGAGGGTGTGGCTTAGAGTGATTTGCTGTCCCTAGCCTGGAGCGGTTGGTCACACAGGGCCCTGTTGGTCCCTAGGGCGGTAGAGCCACCATGGGGCAGGGTATTCCGTTTCTTACCACCAGCAGGAGGGTGATGGTCATTGGCATTACTCTCACGAGTCCTCCCAGGGTCACACTCCCTTAATTATTTTAAGTAATTAGTTTTAATATTTCTTAGGATATATTTTTATCTCCATTAGTTTTTCTGATAAAGTTTAGACACTAGTGTTTTAATTAGGATAGCTTAATGCTTATGAATTAATTTGAACGTGAATTTATATCTAGAAAAATTAGTTTTATTCAAGTAGACACAATATCTCTGTTCATGTCTTCATTTATATCCCTTAGTAGAATTTTGTAACTTTTGAAGAACATACATCTCACAAATTTCTTATTGTATTGTATTCTTAGCGATGGGTGATCAAAGACTGACCAGTGAAAAATCTGTGTTGCATCTGAGTTTCATTTATTTAGATATAAAGGAAACCAAGCCACATGGATGACACAGGAAAGGAAAATTTGGAGATTATGAAAATGTTTCCAATGCATTCTAGTAATAAAAACTCTTTAGCATAATATCTTTCTTATGATGCATCTGTTTTCTTAATAACAGGTAATCTTGGCCAGCTGGTACAGGATTTATACTAAGATAATGGACTTAATGGGTGTTCAAACCAAGACCTGTTGGACAGTTACCAGAGGGGAAGGACTCAGTCCTATAGAGAGCTGTGAAGGTGCGTTGCTTTCTGTAACATTGTTTCCTTAGCTGTGTAGTGTGTTAAGCTTACCTCAGACAGAATGGGAGAGACAGTAAACACTTGATCATGCTCATGTTCTATGAGACTGAAATTAGGGCAGGCTGAAGCGGGCTTCTCTGTGTCCAGAGTGCTGGGATGGCTGGGGTAGGGAGGGAAGGGAAGGGAGGAGGGAGGACCCACCCAAGGGCATCTTCACTCACAGTGCGTCTCCAGCATAAGGGTGGCTGGGCAGCTGAGTTCTGCTGGCCATGCTCTGGGACAGGTCCATGTTATATTCCTATTGCATTGGGATTGTTTGTGGCAGGGCAGGCACTGCAGAGTGATCAGGTTTTCCCGTAGCAGCTCCAGGCCCCAGACTGGATGGTGTATGGCCTCAGGCCCTAGTCTACCCAGGCACTGGCATTGCTTCTGCAACTCTGCCAGGCTCAGAGCTGGGCACCAGCTCCAGGGTGTCCTAGGAGGTGAACCAGTGGGCATGCAACCCTGTGTGGACCTGCTGTGCCTGGTCCTACTTCTCATTTTGGGTCTATACTCATGCTGTGTTTACACCCAGGAACCCAAGGAACCATTTAATTGACCTGGCAACCATTTTCACACTAAGCACTGTTTAATATAAATTGCCAGTCATATCAAGTCATTTATAGTTAGAACATATGTTTTATTTTTAAAGGATTGGGAGATCCTGCTTGCTTTTATGTTGCTGTAATTTTTATTTTGAATGGACTGATGATGGCATTGTTCTTCATATATGGCACCTATTTAAGGTAAGTGTACTTAGGATCTGTTTGTGAGATATGTTTTACATAATTATGCATACTGGTTATAATATGCATAATAGTTAATTGTTAACTTACCCCTCAATTTTATAGCAATATTTCTAAGATATCTCTTTATAGTTTTACATTTTATATTTGCCTAGTTTTACCATTGGTGTGGCCAACCACACTGAAAATAGTTTTAAAGCTTAAACCAGGGTGGGAATACTCAGTGAATTTTTAAATATTCACAGGCATTAGGACATAAACAATTTGTATTGTGTGCATAAAATAGAATGGGAAAGACTACTCATTATCAAGTGATATGAATGGCCCTTGATCTTTGAATGTTAAAATTAGAAGTATTTTGTATTCTGATAGTTAATATCTGACCTGTTTTACTTCTCATATGAAAAGTATTCCTACAACCAAAAGAGTTGGAAATTTTTAAGAGTTTTTTGTGTTTTTCTTTTGACAGTTTGTCACATGATACACTGTTTGACCTATTTAACCTTGAGGGTCTCTTCAGACTTTTCCTGCTGCTTCCTGTTTCTTTGTAGTACAGAAATATGAGCATACTTACGTGATTTCCAACTCAGGATGATGAGTTCCAATTGCCATTACCCATTACCTTCTTTGCTTTGAAAGCACATTTCCTGTTTTGTACTTCAAAGATCTATTGTTTCCTTTTTGAGTGCTTCTTGATAAATATTTATTAACCAAGGAAGCTATTAGATCAATTTAAAATATATTTGCATATAGATTTAAGATATTTTGATGTTAATTATTTCTGACTTAGGCCTAAGAAATTTCATTATTTCATTGGGGAGCATGAAATGAAAATGCTTGACTAGAAGAGGATGTGAAAGATTTTGTTTTTGGAATAAGACATATATAGCAAGAGCTTTCCCAGAAGAATGTGGCAGCTGGGAAAGGAGGCCACCCTGAGAGGCCATGGCCAGCGTGGCCCAGACACAGTGAGCCAAAACGAGGACCCTCGGAGGATGTGTTCATTTTGCAATGCACATCTGTCTTGCAGACACTTTTATCACCTTTGGGAGATCAGATTTCAAGTGAAAGAAATTAAAACATGAAACACAGTGTAACTGCTAAATTGCTAGACTATAGTTATGTTACTTTTTAATTGAAGAATCTCTAAATACTTGTTAAAATATTAAAATACCCATTCACATTGCCTCCCCTACTACTTGTTCTAAACTTGACATGAATGGCTGAAGGTGCAGATCTGCTGAAGGGAGTATTGGTTTTGGTTTGGTTAGGGGTTCTTGGTGTTTGGGGGTATAACCTGGGCCTTCTTGTTCTTTGGGTCCACCTGTCCCTGGTAGGCAGTTTTCTCTCAATGTGTGGGATGCACATGGTTATTGAGTCAGTGTGCAAAGAGCCCACCATGTAGTCTTTTCAGACCATTTGGACTCAACGGTGTGGGCATGGAGCATAGGACACAAGTATACTGGTAGAAAATATGGAGACAATAGGAGAGGATTAGTGTTAGAATTCCAGAGGAATTTGTTCTGGATGGAGGAGCACTTGAACTTGACTTTTTAGAACTGGAGGAATTTGCACAGGTGGACATCCTTTCTAGGGGCAAGGCATCCCAGGGAGAGGCAAGGTGGCAGCTGGGTTGTGGAAAGCAGGTAAGCTGCTGCCAGGTGTGCTAGGATGTATGTTTTGGGGGCTGTGGTGGGTGATAACAGCTGGTACGGTGACTGCACTAGAGGAGGAGAAGCCAGGATGCCAGAGTGTTTAGATCTGTTCCAGAGCCCAAGAAGGAAATCAGACTTGACCAGTGGAGAGACAGGATTCAGGCTGGGCTGTGATCTCACAGGAACCTCACCTGCTCCCAGGTCAGATGGTATGTACCCAACACATCATTTGTTACATTGCAGGCTTTAAAAGTGAATTTAGTGGATTGGTTCCAGCGAGGTTCTGTTCATGAAAAAAGAATCTAAAAGTAAATAGTAGAGTATACTATATTTAATAAGCGTCAAAAAATTAGTTTGTTGTCTATGTGAGTGTCTTGCACACCTGTAATATACAATCTTATTTCACAGTTACAGCAGTCTGTGTAGTGCTTACAGTGGTGCAAGACAGTGACATACTTCAGCACTGGAGTCTTTCCAACAGCTGTCTCTGGTTCCCTTCCCAGGGGCCACGGCCACCCACTTCGGGGCTTTTGGGCCTGTCTCTATGGCTGGACCAGCCTCTAACCCTACCCTGATCTTTCCTAAAAGCTGCTTAGGGTCTGCCAGCTACCATTGAGCATCCGAACACTTCACTTTAGAGAACCCCGCGGTCTCACAGCATCACAGCTCCCTGAGTTCCGAGTTCTTGCCAGCACTACCTGTGCCCAGCTGAGCTGGTAATTCTTGGGCTAATGGGGCACTGTGGTCTCAGGAAACTGGGGCTTTTTTTTTTTTTTTTTTTTTTTTTTTGTTCTCTAAGGACAGAGCTCTAAATGGCACTGGTTCGTGATCCTGTGTATTTTATGTTGAATAAAATTTCTCTTTTCTGTCAATTTTTTAAATTGCTTTTCTAAATGTTCTCAACATGAAGTATTTGTAGAGGTTTATATTACTATTTGTCACTGTTTACATTCTCTTTGGTTGCTGTCTTAGTTACTTTTTACTCATTGCTGAGACAAAATACCTGATGCCCAAAGTTGGGAAAGGAAAGGAAAGGTTTATTTCTTACAGTTTTTGGAGGTTTCAATCCATACTCAGTTGGCTCCAAGGTAGGCTAGCAGAACAGGGTCACAGTTCATGGAGGTTGCAAACCCCAAGGCAGAAATCAAGAGAGAGACACACACCTTCTTCCTGTCATTACATTACATCCTGGCTCCACCCTTAGATGGATGTAGCACTGACACCGTCAATCCAAGCTAGACATTGAACCAATTACAAATGCACAGTGCAAACACATGAGGCCTGGGGGCCACCAACATAAATCATGACAGTTGCTTTAGTCACTCTCCTAATTTTATGGGTGGGATAAAGTTACAGACTTCTTAAAATATGAGTTAAAAATAAAGAGGAGGATAATCTAAAATTATGTTTAGACCTTTTTGAAATATAAATTGTACTATATGTTAAAAGTTGAGGTTTGTTTGGCAGATTAGGAGTTTGAAGGGCAGGTTAAGGATGTAATTTCTTTTTTCAACCCCAGCATCCTGTTTATTTTAAAATTATGCAACAATAAAAGTCCACTTCAAAGAAGTGAAACCATAAGGGGAAAATGGAAAAGAGGCACATGGTGAGCTGGGCCAGGCTGCCAAGCTCTGACGCAGGACGAAGGCAGCTGTGTTTTGCAAACACACCTATTCATGGTATAATTCTTTTTCTGAAATTCTCAGTCTTCATCATTTCTTTTAAATAGCCATTTTAAGTTATTTTTTACAGCAGTATTGTTAGTACATAGTGTCAGTTACTTATTTCATAAGGTAATCTCTTATTTCAAAGCAACAGATTGTTAGTGTCTGGAGACCAGTATCTTAAGTTTGGAACGTCCTCATAGTTGGGAAATTACTGTATATATATAGTATGTGAAATCTCTGATTGATAAATACCAGAAGATTTTGTTGTTGGGCCCCAGGGACAGATAAAAGACAGATAAAATGAACCTTTTGTTCTAGGCAGTTTAGTTTGATTTTAATGTTACTCCAGAGTTTGGGGTAACCTCTGTCTAGGTCATTGTGCATTACAGAGTAGCAACAGTAGACTGGATCACACATTTCACAATTAATATGTTACTCTTAAGCAATGGGGTGCTGGATATGTTTTATAGTTAGCTCTCTGGAAAAGATCTATATGTACATGAAGTGTAGTGAAACTTTTACTGATATGAAGGATGTGTGCAAATAACAAGATTTCTAAAGAGGATTTTTTTTCATTCAAAAAGATGTAGTACAGGAGAAATACTCTTGACTGGCTTGAATAAAAGAGGTGTGCAAACACGACTGGGACACAGAGGCTTGAGCAAACACAGAGAGGAAGCGAAGTGTTTGAGCTTCATAAAAACAAAGTGAGCACTGGAAAGCCCTCCAGCCACGGAGGCTATTGTGTTAGCTAGTTTTGCATTAGTGCAACACATGCCTAAGGCATTCAGCACAGGGTTCCTGGCCCTGGGTCAGGGTCACCAGGTCAGGGGCTCATGAAGTGGGGAATGCCGTGGAGCAAGATGCTTAACTCATGGTGGCCTGGAAGTGGGAAAACTGGAGGAAAGGGTGGGATCTTGTAATCCTGCTGAAGAGCTCTTTCCAGGGGCCCAGAGGTTCCCTTAGGCCATAGCTCATAAATAGCCACAGTCTTCCTGTAGCATCCAGGGTGGCCAGACCTTTGTCACCTAGCCCTTTGGAGCCATCCAGGGCTACACTGCAGTGTCTTCTTTCTGTGCTGTCTTACTCCCACTCCACTTCTTTCCTGTATCCCCTGCTTCTGTGATAGAGATATGTCTATATGCACCTGCGTGCCTGTGCATGCATATGTGTGTGTGTCTGCACGTGCAGCATATGCCCCTTCAGAAGTAGGTGCATGTGCTCCCAAGTTAGTTAGCTTTAGTCATTTGACCCAGCCTTGGACTTAGGAAGTAAAACTATTTGGAGGATATCTCTTACAGTAGACAGGAAGTTAGGACAGAATCTGCCCTGAAGTGGGGAAGTCATCGGGCGGGGCTTGATGTGCAGCTACTCCTCCTCTGATGCTCCTGTCTGTCCCCACTGGTGAAGCTGTTTACAGTCACTATACTGAAGTCTGGTGTCGTAGCTTCTCAATGACAGCTAGACCAGCCTCCTCCTCCATAACTCTGTCAGGGATGTGGCTGTCTGGCTCAGTGGTGCGTGTACCTACCAAGGAGGAGGCTGGCTCTGTCTCTGTGTACTTTTCCTCTTGAGTTTTCACATAGACGGTTGCTGCTTGCAGGGCAGAGTTCCCACAGCTGGTGTCATCACTTGGTTCCCCTCTCATCTTGTATGGTGTGCATTTGTCTCTCATTTT